AGGGAAAGAATGGATAAGAAAATGAGAATACATAAGATTTTCATTTCACTTCCAGTTTAATTTCTGAAACTGAGATCCAATCCTAATGGATCTCTTTAACTATGGCTCCTATTAATTCATAAGTTGAATCGTATGCCAAATAGAGCACATCTCTGAGGTACTACTGACAGAAGAATAAAAGACAATAACAGCAAACCTATCCTAAAAATAGGTATGAAAATTTTGTTTGGAGGTGATTTGTTTTTAAGAATGGCACACAAATAAGAAGCTTGGTATTAAAATAAAATCACTTTGTTCACATGCTACTTACAGCCTTCATAAATATCTGTTGGTATGTGGACTGCTGCATGTTGGTAAGATGTTTGCCGACGGAAAACAGGATCTTCTTCAAATACTGGTCTGATTCTCTGGCTGCCAGATTCAGTGTCATTCTTTTCAGGCTTTGTGAAGAGAGACATGTAAAGGGAAAAATATTACAAAATATGCTAAAGACAATTCTGTTCACATTTGCCTCTTTTTATATAAACGACTCATAGCCTTTCGTTCGTTGCTAACATTTGGCATTTGTATATAAACATACTTATTTACTCCACGTCCAGAAATATTTGTGTATGTTTTATTTCAATTTACAAGTTACCTAAGTGAAATGAAAGCCTGCAAAAGAAAAGTAACAGCCTAACACCTTACAGACATAAATTTCATAAGTGCATGGAATTTTTACACCCATAATCCAAGCCAAATACATAATAGCTTTTATTACATGTAATGATTTGTACCGAATCTTAAATATAAGTTCTGTATATTTCATTTTTCCTTCTGTAGGTTATATAGTAAAACACAAGTCTTAATAAGATACCACTACTATACATATATAGATTTTAGAGAAATAGTGGTGTACATCCAGACAAAGAAAGGAAATTATACCTCCTTAGATTTTCTGATTGAGATAGGTTTTGTTCATTGGTTTCATCAAAAAAAAGTTTCAGTGAAATATAATGTACTCTCCTGGCTACAGCTGCCTAGGTGGAAAGGTTCCCAAACACTCAGGTGCCCACCACCACCTACCTACCTTGGATTCCCATCCCCTCCCACCTGTCTGCACCTCAGCTTCTTGTTCTTTCCAAATCACTCAGTCATTTGGACTAGTTTTCGAAAAAAATTGAAAAGCAGAGGCTATTTTTAACTCAGCCACAAAAATTGCATGAAACCAAGGAGGTAGTGAGGACCACAGGTTACGTGGTAATGTCATTACCTGGCTCAGCTACATCTGGAAGAGAAGGTCACATGGCATAAGTAGACTGCCATTTAAATCAATAATGAATCAACTATGATACCAAACGATTACCCAGGCCAGCAATTCTAGGGAATTATATATTTAATAATACAGAGTCATCAGTTTTTGAACATGTGTTATACTTGAAAATTAGTGCTGACAAAGAAGCACCTATCTGGTCAGTCAGACATGTGTGTGCTGCAGCTATTCTTTATACACTACCACCATGACTATTATCCCCTATCAAAGTACAAACAGCTACATTTTAACTTTCACACAAAATAATCTAATTAAACTGCATATTTTTCCTCATCTGCTCTGTCACAGGGTTATGGACAAATGTTATGCTAAGTACAGGTTCAAATGTTGCCTGAAGTAAGCAGCAGCCTCAGATGGGCTTCAAGGAGGTAGCTTCCTTTGGAAACACAAAGGACAGAGCTCATCTAACCAGTGACACCCACTGATTTCAACAATATAGCAGTGCTGAGCTCATCACCTCAGGCTGCCTTCATAGTCAACGAAGAGAAACAGGAATGTTTTTAGAGTGCAATCCATCCCATCTTAATTAGACACTTATTTTCCCATGACACGAAGTGCCTCCTCCTACTTTCCACTGACTATAAAGGTAGCCCTAGGCAATTTGCGTAGGTAGAGAAGTCTGCAACACAGCTGTCTAGAATTAACTGAGATGAATCTCACAATACAAGCTTATCAAAATTCTGGAAGAAAAGATGGTAGGTACTAATTCTGACTATTTTATGCAGCATAGCTCCTATATCTTATGCTAAGAAGTTAAACTTAACACCTAACCCCACTCTCATGGATAAGACAGAAAGGAAAGCTGTCCTGGTTTTGCTGGGATTGAAATGTAGAATTCCCTTTTCTATTCAGCAGAGTTGCATTTCTGAGAGAACGGCAGTGTTTGATTTAGTGAAAATGAGTTGCTATTATAGCTGTAGCTGTAATGGAGGTATTTTCCTTAGTAGCTGGTAAGACATTTGTTTTGGATTTGTGCTCGGAGTAATATGACAACATGCCAGTGTTTACACTAAATCAAAGCTTGTTTTTCAGTCTTTGTCTACACTTGTGCTCATAGTTTATTTTGGTCTTGGGTTTGTTTTATGGTTTTGGGTTTTCCTGTGGGGTTTTTTTGTTTTGTTTTGTGATTTTTTTTGGTTTTTTTTGTTTTTTTGTTTTTTTAATGTCCTCTCTCTTCAAAGAGGATGGGTGGGAAGTGAAAGCCTGAGATTTTCTGGGACAGATGACCCAGGATAGATGATCTGGGTGTGATCCAAGCTGAACAAATTGTATCCTATCCCATAAACATCACACTCACTATAAATTGGGGAGTTTTCAGAGGATGACCCCTTCTCTTCTCTCTCCCTTCTTCAGATAGTGAATGTCTTGTCCAGCTCATTCAGTTTCTGAGGCTTACCTCTCTCCTATCACATTTTCATTGGTGTACAGCCAGCAACTGCTGTTTGTGAGCTGAGTCTAACTTTGGTTGATTTATTAACATTGTTCCCATGCTTATTACGATTTATTAGTAATACAATTATTTCAGTTTGGTTTATTTTGATTATTGAATAGTCTCTGTCTCCATTGATGAGTTCTTTTACTTTTCCAATTTTCTCCCTCATTCCACCGGGGAGGGAGGCAGTGAGTGTGTGGCTTCGTGGTGTTCAGCTGTCTCTCCAAACCTCTCCTGCAAAGGCCAGTAGGTTGGGGATGTGCAAAAGGCTGAAAGGGGACATAGCCAGGATGGCTGATCCAGGCTGACCAAAGAGATATTCCATACCATAGCAATATAAGCTAAGAGAAAGGACGTGGGGAAAGCAGCATTTGTTATTAAGGCATTTATCTTCTGGAGAAACCAATATGTGTACAGAGGTCCTAATCACCAAGAAATAGGGACATAACCTGCTGATGGGAAGTAGAGAATAAATCTTTTTGTTTTCCTTTGCTTCCACACATGGCCTTTGCTTTTGTTTAGTAAACTGCCTTCATATTGACCCACAAGTTTTTTGACATCTTATTTTCTCCACCTTATCCTACTGGGAAGGGGGATTGATAGAGAGGGGAATGATAGAGTGACTTGCTGGGTACCTGACAGCCAGCCTAGGTCAACCCACCACAAACCATTATAACTTACTTTGAAGCGTTCAAACTGGAGTCAGGATCAGTAGCAGTTTATGTGTTCTATGATTTGAAACACCACTACATTATGATAACTTCAGATCATGCAATTTGGCTCAATTTTTATATAGGTTTTTTGTAGGTTTTTTCTTCTACATTATCACACAGGATTTTTCTCCTTCCCCAGAACTGGAATCCTATACATTAAGCAAATTCTGGAGTTCTTTTCACAACTTATCTTTTGGCTTCATGTTGCTCAAACTAATGAGTTCGTCTGACTCTGCAAATGCAATCTCAACAATCGTTCATGGGAGAAAATTTCCCTCCTGCCTGAAAGCCTTTGATTAAAAGAAAAACCAAAAACATAACGCTCTTAATTCTGAAACTGGTACCAATGACTACAAACTCTCAATGCTTTCACAGAACACTTCAGAAAAGAATTGGAGACCATCAAGCCATATTACTACAATAAAGCACCAGAATGAGTGGGCGTCAAAAAATTTCTTCCACCTAACTCTGACAAAAAATATTTGAGAGGGAGGGGGCATGGTAAAAGAGAAAAGGGGTAAACCACAAGGTCTTGTACAGAAGTTTTCATACTACAGTATATTTAGATTTTTGATTGAAATTTCTGAAGCATCTGAACATAAAATCCTCATGTTTCTTCTGCTTGGTATATCAATTTAATTCCAAGTAATATATCCCAGCTTTCAGTCTCTCCCATCACTCATGTGCTGTGGATCAAGCTTCAACTCTACTGCCAAAATTTGATTAAACTTTGTTGAAACTGAAAGGGTTGAAATAATCTACTTGAATGTCTTAAACTTTCAAACACTATCTGCCATATTTCTAACAGCGCATACACACTCAGACCACCCCCAAACTGACTATGATAAATAAAGGATCTGTTATTCTTCCTACTAATATTCCATTATAACAAAAGTAAAAATGAATCCAAAACCTCTTCAAACATATTTTTCTTGACTTAACTGATTCACCTGTTACAGCTGAACTGTATTTTATATCTATCTCTGTGGCACCGATGGAAAGCAGTGATTCTGTCAGAACTACTTAAAATAACCTAGAAGCTTTTGCATCCCAATTGTTGACTTTCCCTGGGAGTATTTTCTGATGTACAACCCCAATATTGAAAAAATGCAATTATGTGTCCCCCAAAACCCAGAGACACCAAATGAAAAAATCCTTTAAAATTTCTGTAATTTCCTTAACACAGGTTTAATTTTGCTATTAAATCTAAAGGCATCTGAATTACTTCTGCATGCAACAGGCAAGTATCAGAAGTGTTACAGGCAAACTAGTGTTGCACTCACTTGGGCCACGACTTTCCAACCAGCAAGAGTAATGCTGTGCTCGGCCTCGCACAGCCAATGTTTATAGTGGATCCTTCTATACAAAGTAAAATCTCTTTAGTTTTTACTTGTCAAATTTATAAATTTCAGATAACTTTTATCTAAATTAGGAAAAATAAGAGGAAATATTAAAAAGGAAAACCTCAGATTATTTCAGTCTGGTATTTCTATCAAAAGCCTGACAGATTGTGGATTGGTTGGTAGTTTTAATACTCAGTTAAACTTTGTTTTCAGGAAAGTAGCAAAAACATATTTTGAAGGAAAGTAATACAGCATGTGAATATAATTAAATCCAACTCCAACCAATTTCTCTCTCAACTCAGGAGCTGAAAAACAATCAATACTGGCACAGGAGAATCCCACAGGAGAGAGTGGCTGAAGATTAATTTTCTATCTATTCAAACCTGGCCTTCACTTATTGAATTACATTGTTACCTACCCCTGACAGTCAGCAAAATAACTCACTCATTTCTCTGCAATGAATCTCCAGACCAATTTCTCCCTCCCCTGTGAGACAGATAAAATTCATTTCTCTTTTGAGTTCACATTTGTACCACTTTAAGGTTGTTTTTGTTGGTTTTTTTTTGGTTTGAAATAAATTAAGTATTTTCTCATGTGTTTATTACTCACCATCAGGATAAAGGGAAATTGATACAGCAGC